TAAACTTCTAATATAAAATAATATGATTACAAAAATTATACTTGCATATTTCAGTTTTTTTAGATACCCTGTATATATGTATATATTGTGTTTAAAAATCATGTGCTAACATTATACATTTATCTTTTATACTTTAGTAACGGTAGTCTTTTATTCTTAATGTCTTTTAAATCACATTTTACATGAAATTTAAAACATATTAAAAATAAAACTTTTTGCAACGGGAATTTGAGGTTCTACGGACAACTGAATAACGTCCAAACCTCGATTCTTCATTTTAAGTTGTAATTTTGCATTCTTTCTCAAGTTGAATATGCGTATCAATTCCATGTTATTACGACATAATGATAAAGCCTTGTCAAACAATCCTATTGCTTCCTCTAGATTTCCTCTGAAAAAAGAAATGAATTCCGAATATTTTCATTAGAATATCTTCAGATTCCTTATATAAATTACCTATATATGATTGCAACTGGTTTATTTTGAAAATGCCACCACACTCGTTTCTCATAATTTACGCGAAATATTTCACGTGATTCTTTTCACGCGCGGTCAAGAATCATATAAATGACTACAAGTTATTTGTAATCGGGTTTAATAACATCTATAGTTATAAAACTGGCTAATCACAGTCATTTTATTCTGCAAAGGAATAGCTTTGATTGACTAGTTTATTTAATAATTGCAAATTTTATTAAATCCGATTAAGAGTGACGGTGAAGCGTAATTATAGTAATAACTGAAATCTGTCAGTAAAAAGAGTACGAGGAAAGCCTGTATATGTTATAAAAATATTTATTTTATATATTTGCACAAAAATATAATAAAATGAAACTGATAAATATCGCATTAAAAAATCCGCGTAAATTTAGGGATAAATGTATAATTAATAAAAAATTTAATGGAAACATACTTTCGTATTGCGATATGTCCTAATATTTCATGTGTCCCCTCGAATCTCTCATCCAATTCTAACGCTTTGGTCAGATGTTCCGCAGCTTTATCAACATCATTTTTCCACAATAATTGCAATATGGCTCTGTTCACATGGATACGTGCGTTTTCTGGATCTTCCTTCATTGCTTTAACAAGAAAAATATCAGCCTTCTCGTACTGCCGACTTTCGCACAACATCTATAAGAAAATTTCACCAATAAATCAAAATCTTTATAGCACAATGATTATAATCTATCAATTATTTCTTCTTAATTTCAACTATTTTTCTTAAAAAATTATACGTACGTACCTGAGCATAACATATATAACACAATGAACGTTCGGAAATACTTGAATAAAATTTGAAGCATTTCTTAATATGTTTCGCAGTTTCGGCGGCTAATTTAACAGCTGTACAATCTGTGTTAAAAAAGCCACATACATTTTTTATAAAATAATACTGACAGGAATATTTTAGCAAGTACGCTATGCAGAAGTTTGAATTGTATGAAACAGCCTTGTCAAAATCGTGCGTAGATTCATCAAATCTGCCAATAGCCCAATATAGCTGAAATGATAAAATAGTAACGTAAAATAACGTAAATAACGTAAAATATTATCATATTTTACGTTATTGTATGTGTCCAAAATAACGTAAAATATTATCATATTTTACGTTATTTTGGACACGTACAATAACGTAAAATATGATAAAAGTGTGAAAAATATATATTTAATGTTAATATGCATATAATACCAGTCCTCTGAAATAGTAGATCTCACTATAACTTGGATTCATATTAATAGCTAATTCAAAGTCTTTGAAAGCCATTTCTAGATCCTTGCAACCCGAATATAAGGTTCCTCTCTTTACTAGGGCGTTTGTCTTCACGTCATCAGATGCATTTTCGCTATTCAATATTCTTTCAAAATCTTGGATTGCAGAATCGAGTTTGCCCATAAGTATGTAAAATGTAGCTCGTAACAATAGCACCTCTAGTTTAGATGAAGGTAACTTATCAAATTCGGGTCTTTGAATGATTTCCGTGCAAAGCGGTACTACATCATCGTACTTCTTGTCTTTTAAGATCGGACGAGCACACGTC